TTTCCGGACAAACCGCGGTTGCGGACTCAGATTGAAAGCCTCCGCTTTTTCTCCTCGGAGCCCCCACCCCACCCCCCCGCAAGTCTCCCCCTTGCCTTTGGGCCGCCCCATTTGCGACCCTTCCCCACCTCTCTCCCTCCCCCTTAACTGGAGGCCCCGCCCCTCCCCTCCCTCCCTCCCTCCCCTCCTCGGGAAGGAAGCTGCATCTGAATAGCGGAGGAAAGCGAAAGTCTCCGGACGGCGGCGCTGCCTGGAAATCACGTGATCGAAAGGAAAAGGAGACCCAGAACGAATAATGGAGTGGGAAGGGACCTCGGAGGTCATCTAGTCCAGCCGTTTGCTCAAGCAGGGAGACCCTTACAAAATAAGCGAGTAGGAAGGCACGTCGGAGGTCATCCAGTCCAGCCCGGCTACTCGAGCAGGAGACCCTGACAGAATCATAGAGGGACAGCGTTGGGAGGGATCTTGGAGGTCATCTAGTCCAGCCCCCGGCTGAAGCAGCAAAATACAAAATAAGAGAGTAGGGAGGCACCTCGGAGGTCATTTAGTCCACCCCCCCTGCTAGAGCAGGCGACTCTTAGAGACCGGCAAAATAACAGTTGGAAGGGATCGTAGAGGTCATCTAGTCGATCCCCCCCCGGCTCGAGCTGGAGATTCCGGACAAAAGGCGGTCCAGACTCTTCTTGGAAGACTCCGCTTTTTCTCCCCAGAGCGCCCCTCCCCTCCCCCAGTCTCTCCGCCCCATCGGCGACCCTTCCCCACCTCTCTCCCCCCCTTAACTGGAGGCCGGCCCCCTCCCCTCCCTCCCTCCCCCTCCCCTCCCGGGAAAGAAGCCGCCTCTGAATAGCGGGTTGGACTAGATGACCTCCGAGGTCCCTTCCAGCTCTGTGACTCTGTTGTTTTCTACTGCTCGAGCAGGCGGTTGGGCTAGATGACCTCCAGGGACCCTTCCAACTCTCCTTCTACGATTCTGTCAGGGTCACCTGCTCGAGCCGGGGGTTGGACTGGATGACCTCCGAGGCCCCTTCCAGCTCTCTGGCTCTACTGTTTTCTAAGGGTCTCCTGCTGGAGCCAGGGGGTCGGGCTAGATGACCTCCAGGGACCCTTCCAACTCTCCTTCTAGGATTCTGTCGGGGTCACCTGCTCGAGCCGGGGGTTGGACTGGATGACCTCCGAGGCCCCTTCCAGCTCTGTCGCTCCGTGTAAGGGGAGAGCCAAAGAGCGGACGAAAGCGAAAGTCTCTCGGCGGCGGCGCTGCCTGGAAATCACGTGATCGAAAAGAAGAGCCCCCCCCCCCGGTGCAAAAACCAGGCTCGCTTCCTCTGCTCTTTGCTTTGCAGGGCGCCCCTCCCCCTCCCCGCCTCCCCCCCAGCAGCCTTTCCATCGGAACGGAGCGGGAAGGAGCCTCGGAGGTCATCCAGACCGACCCCCCCCCGCTCGAGCAGGAGACCCCGACAGAGTCACAGAATCACAAGAATTGGAAGGGACCTCGGAGGTCAACTAGCCCAGCCCCCTGCTCCAGCCGGAGACCCTGAGAGAATCAGAGAATAACAAGAGTTGGAAGGGACCTCGGAGGTCATCTAGCCCAGCCCCCTGCTCCAGCCGGAGACCCTGACAGAATCAAAGAACAACAAGAGTTGGAAGGGACCTCAGAGGTCATCTAGTCCAGCCCCCTGCTCCAGCCAGAGACCCTGAGAGAATCACAGAATAACAAGAGCGGAAGGGACCTCGGAGGTCATCTAGTCCAGCCCCCTGCTTGACCAGGGAGACCCTTTACAGAAACAGAGAATAACAAGAGTTGGATGGGAGGTCCCTTCCGGCTCTGTCTTTCTACTATTTTCTAAGGGTCTCCTGCTCGAGCAGGGGGTTGGGCTAGATGACCTCCGGGGTCCCTTCCAGCTCTGTTCCTCTTATGATTCTGGAAGGGTCTTCTCCTCGAGCAGGGGGTTGGACTGGATGACCTCCAGGGTCCCTTCCCACTCTGTTCTCTTATGATTCTGGAAGGGTCTCCTGCTCGAGCAGGGGGTTGGACTGGATGATCTCTGGGGTCCCTTCCCACTCTGTTCCCCTGCTCGCGCTGATAGGCCGGTTCTGAGGTTTTGCTGGTTGAAGCAACACAGGAAACCAGAAGGTGCCTGTTAAGTTTTACGTGTTTATGCAGCCGAACAGAGACGGACCCCCTCTAAATGAGGGAAGACCCCCCCCCAATGACAAGCAATCCTTGTATTTATTCTGTGTAATTGCATAAGCCACCCGTCCCGCAAAGCTGACGCCCGTAAGAGAAAGACTGCACCCGGGAAGTCTGGCACCTTGCAGATAAGAAGGGAGAGAGCAGAAGGAGCTACACAGGTTGGTGTTCCCTAAAGGTATCATTTTGTTCTCGGGTGGGTTTCGGACGTTGGGTGTTGTCCTTGCTGTCCTTTCCTGACCCTCCACCCAGGACTCTGCAAGTAAGTGGTCAAAGAGAGAGAGGCCATCTGTGTGTATTCACAATTAACACTCTCCCATCATCATCATCATCATAATAATAATAATAATAATAATAATAATAATAATAATAATAAAGTTGGAAGGGACTTTGGAGGTCATCTACTCCAACCCTCTGCTCAGGCAGGAAAACCTACACCATTTCCGACCAATGGCTGTCCAGTCTCATAATAATAATAACAATAACAACAACAACAACAACAACAACAACAATAATAATAATAATAATAATAATAATAATAATAATAATAATAATAGTAACAAGCAAGGGTAGTACCAATAGTCATAGGCTCCTTGGGTGCAATCCCAAAACAACTGGAGCATCACTTGAACACCATCGGCATTGACCAATTCGCCATTAGTCAGTTGCAAAAGGCGGCCTTGCTAGGAACTGCTTCCATCCTGCGACGATACCTGTAATACCATCAAACATCCACATCTGCCTATCCCAGGTCCTGGGTAAGGACTCGATAGGTAGACAAAATGCCAAATCCAGTCTGAACATCTGGCTGACTGTGCGATGATCCATAATAATAATAATAATAATAATAATAATAATAATAATAATAATAATAATAATAATAAAGTTGGAAGGGACCTTGGAGGTCATGTAGTCCAACCCCCTGCTCAGGCAGGAAACCCTACACCGTTTCGGACAAATGGCCGTCCAGTCTCTTCTTCAAAACTTCCAGTGTTGGAGCATCCACCGCTTCTGGAGGCAGGTTGTTCCACGGGTTAATTGTTCTCACTGTCAGGAAGTTTCTCCTTAGTTCTAAGTTGCTTCTCTCCTTGCTGAGTTTCCATCCGTTGCTTCTTGTCCTGCCTTCAGGCGCTTTGGAGAATAGCTTGACTGCCTCTTCTTTATGGCAGCCCCTGAGATACTGGAAGACTGCTATCCTGTCCCCCCTTGTCCTTCTCTTCGTTAAACTAGACAGACCCAATTCCAGCAACCGTTCCTTGTATGCTTTAGCCTCCAGTCCCCTGATAATCTTTGTTGCTCTTCTCTGCACTCTTTCTAGAGTCTCGGCATCTTTTTGACATCGCGGGGACCAAAACTGGATGCCGTATTCCAAGGCTGGCCTTACCAAGGCCTTGTAAAGTGGTAGTAACCCTTCGCCTGATCTTGATTCTATCCCTCTGTTGACGCAGCCCAGCACTGGGTTGGCCTTTTTGGCAGCTGCAGCCCACGGCTGGCTCCTATTTAAGGGATTGTCCACTAGGACTCCGAGGTCCCTCTCCCAGTTGCAACTAGTGAGCAAGGAACCCCCATACCAGACACGTCAAACACGAGGCATCCGGGGGCCGGATGCAGCCCGTGAAGTGGTTTCATGTGGCCCGCAAAGCCATCCCGGAAACAAGCAAGGGACCGCCCCCTGCCGTGTGGGCCCCGCCCCCTGGGTGCATGCTGGGCAGGGGTCACCCTTTGCGAGGGATGAAGAAATGGACCGTGCCTTGGCGCTTGCCCCGGTCCCCCCACCCTCTTCTGCCAGAGACCCTCAGATCTGTCCCACTCCTGCCCAGGCCCCCCACAGGCACCCTTGACGCGAACGATGTGGAGTTGGCCCGGCCCACCCAGTAGGCCACGCCCACTCCATGCACACCCACCCAGTAAGCTGCACCCACCCGGCCCCCCCAAGGGCAACCGCAATGCTGATGCGGCCCTCCATGAAATTGAGTTTGACAGCCCACCCCCCGCCCTATACTATACCTCTGCATTTGGTTTTTCTTGCCGAAATGTAGAACCTAAATGTAGAATGGCTGGTCATCGGAGCAGGGGGGTTGGGCTGGATGACCTCCAGGGTCCCTTCCCAACTCTCTTCTTTTCCCAGCTCGCTCTTCACCCCACCCACCCCTCCTCCAAAGTCAAACAAACCACACACAGCCTCTTTCCTAAGCAAGGAGGAGATTTAATTGGAGCTTTGGTTGAAACAGAAGTGCCCTCCCAGTGAGTCCATGTCGGCCCATGGAAGGCAGGAAGGAAGGAAGGAAGGAAGGAAGGAAGGAAGGAAGGAAGGAAGGAAGGAAGGATGGAAGGAAGGAAAGAAGGAAGGAAGGAAGGAAGGAAGGAAGGAAGGAAGGAAGGAAGGAAGGAAGGAAGGAAGGAAGGAAGGAAGGAAAGATGGAAGGATGGAAGGAAGGAAGGAAAGAAGGAAGGAAGGAAGGAAGGAAGGAAGGAAGGAAGGAAGGAAGGAAGGAAGGAAGGAAAAGGAAGGAAGGAAGATGCCAGGCAACCGTTCCAAAAACAGAGATTCCGCTCAGGAAAACGAGAAAAGTGAGAAAAAACCTCAAGGCTCTCCTTGCCTTGATGGTCTTCGGCACCAGCCGGAGCGAACGGGAGACGTTGTCAAGATTCTGCGACTTATAATTCATAATATTTTTCGTCTCGGCGGTTTCCTGTCCTGCTCGACCTCAACGGACGGACCGACGGGGAAGCCCCAAAGAGTCTGTGCTTCTAAAGGGACAGGGGTGCAGGCTGGGAGCAAATTCGGCTGGGGGGGCTGGCTAGTTGATATGGGGAGGGGGCGGGATCTTCCTCTGCCCTTGGAAGAAACTCCTGTCATCTGAGGGGAGGAAGTGGGTTCTCCGGAGAAGGAATCGGCTCAGGGTGACTCCGCCACCTATCTCGGACTTTGGGGTTCTTCGGAGGTCTCCTGGCGAGGGCTGGGTTGCAACTAAAAGGGGGGGAAATGCAGGGTTGTGGCCTTGGACAGGGCTACCGCCTTGGAGCAGAGAGGCTTTTCGGCGTCCGTTAGAGGAGACGACACGAGGAGAGGCCACGCCTTTCTTTGAAGTGGTTTATGTCCGCCGTCAGCATGTCCTCCGTGTAGCAAGTCGCATCCCCGTTCTTGTACACGAGCTGATCGATCATCCGCATCAGTTCGGCCACCTGAGCCTCCCGTTCTTCTCCTTTGGCCTTGTTGTTGAAGGCCAGGCAGCGGTGCCCACAGTGGGCCACCAGTTCCCGAAGCGCGACGTCTCTCTGGGATATGAACTCCTCCAGCGTCTCCCCTTCCAGGTCCTCCTTGCGGGTGAACAAAAGGATCAGGTAATTCTTGCCTTTGCGACCGAACACCTCTTTGACCAGCTGAAGCCTCTCCTTCTCCTCCTGCGTCCAACAGCCAGGACGCAGGACGCACAGAATAGCGTGGGGACCCGGGGTGCAAAACTTCATAGACTTCACGAGCTCCGTCACAGTTTGGGACTCTGGAACCCCAGGGTCGAAAAAGCCCGGCGTATCCACCACCACCACCTTCCGGCCATTCCACAGGCTCTCCTCCCTTTGGCAAGTCTTTGTTGGTGACCTATAACACCACCTAGACTCAAAGACGTTGCTTCCCAGGATGGTGTTTCCCGTCGCGCTTTTCCCACTTCCGGTGCTGCCCACCAGGACGATCCTCTGATCAGGCCCTGCAACCCCAAAGGGGAGAAGAAAGAAGACGGTGACTCGGTCGGCAGCGTACGGCCATCGCACCCTGTTCCCGCCCCTACCCCATCCCACCCCCCCGCCACCCCCCCCCGGGCCCAAGACTTTACCTCGGAAGCTTCCAGCCATTTCTGGACAAGTCGCACAGCGCCAATCTCGGGGGTTGCTGCGTGAACAGCGAAAGAGGATGAGCCCAAGGAGAGGCTGTCTCGCTCGGAGGTTCCCCCCTAGAAGACACAGGCGGGAATTGGGGGGGGGGCCAAAGAGGGTCCCCCCCTCCCCCCCGGCCCTTGAGGCCGAGTCGTCCTGTTCCCGAACCGGCTGGGGGACGCGGGAGACTGGGTGACACCCCAGTGAACTGTCCTAGGAGACAGTTTGCACCCCTTCCCGGACCCCCTTCCTGGACTCTCTTCCTGGACCCCCATCCTTGACCCCTTTATTGGGACATTCCGGGACATTCTTCCTGGAGCCCTTTCCCAGACCCTCTTCCTGGACCCCCTTTCTGGAAACCTTTTGTGGACCCTCTTCCTGGACTCTCTTCCTTGATCCTTTTCCCAGACCCTCTTCCTTGACTCCTTTCCTGGACCCCTTTTCTGGACCCCTTTCCCAGACCCCCTCCCTCCCTCCTCCAGGAGTGTTGCCCTCTCTCGCAACCATACAGCGATTCCCCAGGAAGTCCTCGTCTTACGACACGCCCTTTCGTGACCGCGGCCTCAAACGTCATCCAATTGGGCAGCCTCCCTTGACCAATTTCTCCCTTAGCAATGTAAACTTGGGCCTCAGTTATGGCCGGTAAGCCGAGGACCCCCCGTCCTTCTTGCCCAGACCAGCCCTGTCGAGAGTTTGGGGGAGAGGGACGCCTTCCTCCGGCATCCCGCGCAGACCCCCAAAGGCGGCAGAAGTTTCTGGGCTGGGCAGAGGTAGAGTAGAATAGAGCCGGAAGGGACCTTGGAGGTCATCTAGTCCAGCCTCCCCGCTCGAGCAGGAGAAACTAGGTCCTATACTGTCTCAGACAAGTGACTGTCTAGAATAGAATAGAGGAATGAAGAATAGAATATAATAGAATATAGAAAAGGAATATAATAGAATAGAGAATTAAGAGAATAGAACAGAACAATAGAATAGACTAGAAAATATGGAATGGAATAGAATAGAATAGAATAGAATAGAATAGAATAGAATAGAATAGAAAATTGAATAGAATGGAGTAGAATAATAGAATTAGAATAGAAGAATAGAATAGAATAGAATAGAATAGAATAGAATAGAATAGAATAGAATAGAATAGAATAGAATAGAATAGAATAGATTGAATAGAATAGAATAGAAAATTGAATGGAATGGAGTAGAATAGAATACAATAGAATAGAATAGAATAGAATAGAATAGAATAGAATAGAATAGAATAGAATAGAATAGAATAGAATAGAAAATATGGAAGAGAAGAGAAGAAGAGAAGAATAGAGTAGAATAGAATAGAATAGAATAGAATAGAATAGAATAGAATAGAACAGAATAGAAAATTGAATAGAATGGAGTAGAATAGAATACAATAGAATAGAATAGAATAGAATAGAACAGAATAGAAAATATGGAAGAGAAGAGAAGAGAAGAGAAGAATAGAAGAATAGAGTAGAATAGAATAGAATAGAATAGAATAGAAAATTGAATGGAATGGAGTAGAATAATAGAATAGAAGAATAGAATAGAATAGAATAGAATAGAATAGAATAGAATAGAATAGAATAGAATAGAATAGAAAATTGAATGGAATGGAGTAGAATAATAGAATAGAATAGAATAGAATAGAATAGAATAGAATAGAATAGAATAGAATAGAACAGAATAGAAAATTGAATGGAATGGAGTAGAATAGAATAGAAAATATGGAAGAGAAGAGAAGAGAAGAAGAGAAGAATAGAGTAGAATAGAACAGAATAGAATAGAAAATTGAATGGAATGGAGTAGAATAATAGAATAGAAGAATAAAATAGAATAGAATAGAATAGAATAGAAAATATGGAAGAGAAGAGAAGAGAAGAGAGAAGAATAGAGTAGAATAGAACAGAATAGAATAGAAAATTGAATGGAATGGAGTAGAATAATAGAATAGAAGAATAAAATAGAATAGAATAGAATAGAATAGAACAGAATAGAATAGAAAATTGAATAGAATAGAATAGAATAGAAAATATGGAAGAGAAGAGAAGAGAAGAAGAGAAGAATAGAGTAGAATAGAACAGAATAGAATAGAAAATTGAATGGAATGGAGTAGAATAATAGAATAGAAGAATAAAATAGAATAGAATAGAATAGAATAGAATAGAATAGAACAGAATAGAATAGAAAATTGAATAGAATAGAATAGAATAGAAAATATGGAAGAGAAGAGAAGAGAAGAGAGAATGGAAAATGGAATGGAATGAAGAATATAGAAGAGAAGAGAAGAGAAGAGGAGAGAAGAGAAGAGGAGAGAAGAATAGAATAGAATAGAATAGAATAGAAAATATGGAAGAGAAGAGGAGAGAAGAGAAGAGAAAGAGAAGAGAAGAGAATAAGAGAAGAGAAGAGAAGAGGTGCTTCTGTGCCCCCACCTGTTGGGAAGCCCCCTCCCTCTCCCTCCCCCTCCTTCCTCGGCCTTCCTTTGCAGAGACGGAGGGAGGGGATCCCGAGGGATTCAGCCCTCCGCTTCCCCGCCTTAGGATCTCGGCTATCCAGCTCCACCCGTTGAGCCCCCTCCCTCCCTCCCCCCCTCCCCCTCTGACAGCCTCTCCCCTCCCTTTCCCTCCCCTAACACGAGGGTCTCGGCTCTCCCACCCACCCGTTGGGCGGGGGGGCTCTCCCAGAAACGAGGACCGACTGGATGCCCTCGGAAGAGCCCTTCGCCTTTCGCCCACTTCTCCTGCCCCAGCCAGGCCCCCTCTTGGCGCTTCTGGGGAGGGGAGGGCGTCTCACCTGGACGGAGGGATCCGATTGATCCCCTTCGGCGGCTGGATCCGCTGCTCTCCCGGGCCGCCTCTCGGCCGGATCTCCTCGCCCTTTGAACGGCGGGTGGATCCTTGACCACGGGGAAAGGGGAACCTCAGCGGGAGGGGGGAGATCCCCCGACAGGGAGGGCCGGGAAGCAGATCCCGAGGGAAGTCTGGATCTGGGATCCCAAGCAGGCAGCCCCGCCAGGCCGGAGAAGAGCTCCACGGCCGCCCGAAAGGCGGAGAGATCTTCGGATCTTCCAGCTGAGCCGCCGGTGGATCCCAGGAAGCAACCGGGGGCGTCAAACGCAGCCACCCACCTGGGATCTTGTCCGAACCCCACCTGGGCGCGGGAGGGACAAGGGTGTGTGTGTGTGTGTGTGTGTGTGTGTGTGTGTGTGTGTGTCTTCCCATCCCCTCTTCGCTGTGCCTCGCTTTCCCTTTTGGCTTCCTGCTCCGGGATCCACCCGGCGATCGCTCCGAAGACGTTGATTGGCAGCTGGCCAGCAGGGGAGGGAGGGAGGGAGTTAGGGAGGGAGGGAGTGGTCCCAGCTTCCGGTCATGGTGGACGATCCGAGCCCAACCCCCTGCTGGAGCAGGAGACCCGGACAGAATCCTAGAAGGAGAGTCGGAAGGGACCTCGGAGGCCATCTAGTCCAACCCCCTGCTGCAGCAGGGGACCCTCGCAAAATCACAGAATGACTTACAGAAGGGACCTCAGAGGCCATCTAGTCCAAACCCCTGCTCCAGCAGGAGACCCTCGCAGAATCACAGAATGACTTACAGAAGGGACCTCGGAGGTCATCTAGTCCAACCCCCTGCTGCAGCAGGGGACCCTCCCAGAATCCTAGACTGAGTTACAGAAGGGACCTCGGAGGTCATCTAGTCCAACCCCCTGCTCCAGCAGAGGACCCTCGCAGAATCGTACATTGAGTTACAGAAGGGACCTCGGAGGCCATCTAGTCCAACCCCCTGCTCCAGCAGGAGACCCTCCCAGAATCCTAGAATGAGTTACAGAAGGGACCTCGGAGGCCATCTACTCCAACCCCCTGCTCCAGCAGAGGACCCTCGCAGAATCATACATTGAGTTACAGAAGGGACCTCGGAGGTCATCTAGTCCAACCCCCTGATGGAGCAGGAGACAGAATCCTAGGACAGTTGGAAGGGACCTCGGAGGCCATCTAGTCCAACCCCCTGCTGGAGCAGGAGACCCGGACACAATCCTAGAAGGAGAGTCGGAAGGGACCTCGGAGGCCATCTAGTCCAACGCCCTGCTCCAGCAGGGGACCCTCGCAGAATCCTAGAATAAGTTACAGAAGGGACCTCGGAGGTCATCTAGTCCAACCCCCTGCTCCAGCAGGAGACCCTCGCAGAATCCTAGAATGAGTTACACAAGGGACCTCGGAGGCTATCTAGTCCAACAGTCCGATCGAGCAGGAGACCCAGATAGAATCCTAGAAAGGCAGAGCTGGAAGGGACCCTGGAGGTCTTCTAGTCCAACCCCCGGCTCCAGCGGGAGATTTCCGCACAAACGGCGGTTCCGGACTCAGATTGAAAGCCTCCTCTTTTTCTCCTCGGAGCCCGCCCACCCCCCCCGCAAGTCTCCCCCTTGCCTTTGGGCCACCCCAGCTGCGACCCTTCCCCACCTCTCTCCCTCCCCCCTAACTGGAGGCCCCGCCCCTCCCCTCCCTCCCTCCCCCCCTCGGGAAGGAAGCTGCATCTGAATAGCGGAGGAAAGCGAAAGTCTCCGGGCGGCGGCGCTGCCTGGAAATCACGTGATCGAAAGGAAAGCGAGAGCCAGAACGACCCCCTCCTCCCCCCTCCCGCTCCCCCCCGACCAGCCACAGGAAACGGGCTATTTTTTCCTCCGGGTTTAATAATCGCACAACGGCCGCTTCGGGCTGGGTCGCCTCCCCCCCTTCTCCCCTTCCCCCCCCCGCCTCCTCCCAGCAGCCTTTCCATCGGAACAGAGCTGGAAGGGACCTTGGAGGTCATCCAGCCCAACCCCCTGCTCGAGCAGGAGACCCTCAGAGAATTGCACGGCTGGAAGGGACCTTGGAGGTCATCTGGTCCAACCCCCGGCTCCAGCAGGAGACCCTCACGACATGAGAGAGTAGGAGGGCACCTCGGAGGTCATCTAGTCCACCCCCACCCCCCCACCCCCGCTAGAGCAGGACAACGTTACCGAATGGCAAAATAACAGTTGGAAGGTCTCTTAGAGAATTACACAGCTGGAAGGGACCTTGGAGGTCATCTGGTCCATCCCCCGGCTCCAGCAGGAGACCCTCACGAAATAAGAGAGTAGGAGGGCACCTCGGAGGTCATCTAGTCCACCCCCCCGCTAGAGCAGGACACCGTTACAGAACCGCAAAATGACAGTTGGAAGGTCTCTTAGAGCTCTTCTAGTCGAGCCCCCTGCTTGAGCAGGAGACCCGTACGGAGTCATCGAATAATGGAGTGGGAAGGGACCTCGGAGGTCATCTAGTACAACCGTTTGCTCAAGCAGGGAGACCCTTACAAAATAGGCGAGTAGGAAGGGACGTCGGAGGTCATCCAGTCCAGCCCCGCTACTCGAGCAGGAGACCCTGACAGAATCATAGAGGGACAGCGTTGGGAGGGATCTTGGAGGTCATCTAGTCTAGCCCCCGGCTGAAGCAGCAAAATACAAAATAAGAGAGTAGGGAGGCACCTCGGAGGTCATTTAGTCCACCCCCCCTGCTAGAGCAGGCGACTCTTAGAGACCGGCAAAATAACAGTTGGAAGGGATCGTAGAGGTCATCTAGTCGACCCCCCCCGGCTCGAGCTGGAGATTCCGGACAAAAGGCGGTCCAGACTCTTCTTGGAAGACTCCGCTTTTTCTCCCCAGAGCGCCCCTCCCCTCCCCCAGTCTCTCCGCCCCATCGGCGACCCTTACCCACCTCTCTCCCCCCCTTAACTGGAGGCCGGCCCCCTCCCCTCCCCTCCCTCCCTCCCCCTCCCCTCCCGGGAAAGAAGCCGCCTCTGAATAGCGGGTTGGACTAGATGACCTCCGAGGTCCCCTCCAGCTCTGTCACTCTGTTGTTTTCTACTGCTCGAGCAGGCGGTTGGGCTAGATGACCTCCGGGGACCCTTCCAACTCTCCTTCTAGGATTCTGTCAGGGTCACCTGCTCGAGCCGGGGGTTGGACTGGATGACCTCCGAGGCCCCTTCCAGCTCTGTCGCTCCGTGTAAGGGGAGAGCCAAAGAGCGGACGAAAGCGAAAGTCTCTCGGCGGCGGCGCTGCCTGGAAATCACGTGATCGAAAAGAAGAGCCCCCCCCCCCGGTGCAAAAACCAGGCTCGCTTCCTCTGCTCTTTGCTTTGCAGGGCGCCCCTCCCCCTCCCCGCCTCCCCCCCAGCAGCCTTTCCATCGGAACGGAGCGGGAAGGAGCCTCGGAGGTCATCCAGACCGACCCCCCCCCGCTCGAGCAGGAGACCCCGACAGAGTCACAGAATCACAAGAATTGGAAGGGACCTCGGAGGTCAACTAGCCCAGCCCCCTGCTCCAGCCGGAGACCCTGAGAGAATCAGAGAATAACAAGAGTTGGAAGGGACCTCGGAGGTCATCTAGCCCAGCCCCCTGCTCCAGCCGGAGACCCTGACAGAATCAAAAAACAACAAGAGTTGGAAGGGACCTCGGAGGTCATCTAGTCCAGCCCCCTGCTCCAGCCAGAGACCCTGAGAGAATCACAGAATAACAAGAGCGGAAGGGACCTCGGAGGTCATCTAGTCCAGCCCCCTGCTTGACCAGGGAGACCCTTTACAGAAACAGAGAATAACAAGAGTTGGAAGGGAGGTCCCTTCCGGCTCTGTCTTTCTACTATTTTCTAAGGGTCTCCTGCTCGAGCAGGGGGTTGGGCTAGATGACCTCCGGGGTCCCTTCCAGCTCTGTTCCTCTTATGATTCTGGAAGGGTCTTCTCCTCGAGCAGGGGGTTGGACTGGATGACCTCCGGGGTCCCTTCCCACTCTGTTCTCTTATGATTCTGGAAGGGTCTCCTGCTTGAGCAGGGGGTTGGACTGGATGACCTCTGGGGTCCCTTCCCACTCTGTTCCCCTGCTCACGCTGATAGGCCGGTTCTGAGGTTTTGCTGGTTGAAGCAACACAGGAAACCAGACGGTGCCTGTTCAGTTTTACGTGTTTACGCAGCCGAATAGAGAGGAACCCCTCTAAATGAGGGAAGACCCCCCCCCCAATGACAAGCAATCCTTGTATTTATTCTGTGTAATTGCAGAAGCCGCCCGTCCCGCAAAGCTGACGCCCGTAAGAGAAAGACTGCACCCGGGAAGTCTGGCACTTTGCAGATAAGAAGGGAGAGAGCAGAAGGAGCTACACACGTTGGTGTTCCCTAAAGGTATCGTTTTGCTCTCGGGTGGGTTTCGGACGTTGGGTGTTGTCCTTGCTGTCCTTTCCTGACCCTCCACCCAGGACTCTGCAAGTAAGTGGCCAAAGAGAGAGAGGCCATCTGTGTGTATTCACAATTAACACTCTCCCATAATAATAATAATAATAATAATAATAATAATAATAATGTTGGAAGGGACTTTGGAGGTCATCTACTCCAACCCTCTGCTCAGGCAGGAAAACCTACACCATTTCCGACCAATGGCTGTCCAGTCTCATAATAATAATAATAATAATAATAATAATAATAGTAACAAGCAAGGGTAGTACCAATAGTCATAGGCTCCTTGGGTGCAATCCCAAAACAACTGGAGCATCACTTGAACACCATCGGCATTGACCAATTCGCCATTAGTCAGTTGCAAAAGGCGGCCTTGCTAGGAACTGCTTCCATCCTGCGACGATACCTGTAATACCATCAAACATCCACATCTGCCTACCCCAGGTCCTGGGTAAGGACTCGATAGGTAGACAAAATGCCAAATCCAGTCTGAACATCTGGCTGACTGTGCGATGATCCAATAATAATAATAGTAATAATAAAATTTGGAAGGGACCTTGGAGGTCACCTAGTCCAGCCCTCTGCTCAGGCAGGAAACCCTATACCATTTCAGACAAATGGCTGTCCAGTATCATCATCATCATCATCATCATCATCATCATCATCATCATCATCATCAAGTTGGAAGGGACCTTGGAGGTCATCTAGTCCAACCCTCTGCTCAGGCAGGAAACCCTACACCATTTTAGACAAATGGCTGTCCAGTATCATCATCATCATCATCATCATCATCATCATCATCATCATCAAGGTGGAAGGGACCTTGGAGGTCATCTAGTCCAACCCCCTGCTCAGACAGGAAACCCTATACCATTTCGGACAAACGGCTGTCCAGTCTCTTCTTAAAAACTTCCAGTGTTGGAGCATCCACCGCTTCTGGAGGCAGGTTGTTCCACGGGTTAATTGTTCTCACTGTCAGGAAGTTTCTCCTTAGTTCAAATTTGCTTCTCTCCTTGCTGAGTTTCCATCCGTTGCTTCTTGTCCTGCCTTCAGGCGCTTTGGAGAATAGCTTGACTGCCTCTTCTTTATGGCAGCCCCTGAGATACTGGAAGACTGCTATCCTGTCCCCCCTCGTCCTTCTCTTCATTAAACTAGACATCCCCAATTCCAGCAACCATTCCTTATATGTTTCAGCCTCCAGTCCCCTGATCATCTTTGTTGCTCTTCTCTGCACTCTTTCTAGAGTCTCAACATCTTTTTGACATCGCGGGGACCAAAACTGGATGCCGTATTCCAAGGCTGGCCTTACCCAGGCCTTGTAAAGTGGTAGTAACCCTTCGCCTGATCTTGATTCTATCCCTCTGTTGATGCAGCCCAGCACTGGGTTGGCCTTTTTGGCAGCTGCAGCCCACGGCTGGCTCCTATTTAAGGGATTGTCCACTAGGACTCCGAGGTCCCTCTCCCAGTTGCTACTATTGAGCAAGGAACCCCCTATACCAGACAGGTCAAACACAAGGCATCCGGGGGCCGGATGCAGCCCGTGACGTGGTTTCATGTGGCCCGCAAAGCCATCCAGGAAACAAGTGAGGGACCACCCCCTGCCGCGTCGGCCCCGCCCCCTGGGTGCACGCTGGGCAGGGGTCACCCTTTGCGAGGGATGAAGAAATGGACCGTGCCTTGGTGCTTGCCCCGGTCCCCCCACCCTCTTCTGCCAGAGACCCTCAGATCTGTCCCACTCCTGCCCAGGTCCCCACAGTTACCCTTGACGCGAACGATGTGGAGCTGGCCCCGCCCACCCAGTAGGCCCCGCCCACTCCATGCACACCCACCCAGTAGGCCGCACCCACCCGTGCCCCCCCAAGGGCAACCGCAATGCTTGTGCGGCCCTCCATGAAATTGAGTTTGACACACACCCCTCCACCTTACACTATACCTGTGCATTTGGTTTTTCTTGCCGAAATGTAGAACCTAAATGTAGAATGGCTGGTCATCGGAGCAGGGGGGTTGGGCTGGATGACCTCCAGGGTCCCTTCCCAACTCTCTTCTCTTCCCAGCTCGCTCTTCACCCCACCCACCCCTCCTCCAAAGTCAAACAAACCACACACAGCCTCTTTCCTGAGCAAGGAGGAGATTTAATTGGAGCTTTGGTTGAAACAGAAGTGCCCTCCCAACTGAGTCCATGTCGGCCCATGGAAGGAAGGAAGGAAGGAAGGAAGGAAGGAAGGAAGGAAGGAAGGAAGGAAGGAAAGAAGGAAGGATAAAAGGAAGGAAGGATTGAAGGAAGGAAGGAAGGAAGGAAAGAAGGAAAGGAAGGAAGGAAGGAAGGAAGGAAGGAAGGAAGGAAGGAAGGAAGGAAGGAAGGAAGGAAGATGCCAGGCAGTTCTTCTGAAAGCAGAGATTCCGCTCAGGAAAACAGGAAAAGGTGAGAAAGAACCTCAAGGCTCTCCTTGCCTTGATGTTCTTCGGCACCAGCCGGAGCGAACGGGAGACATTGTCAAGATTCTGCGACTTATAATTCGTAATATTTCTCGTCTCGGCGGTTTCCTGGCCTGGTTGACCTCAACGGACCGACCGAGAAGTCTGTGCTTCTAAAGGGACAGGGGTGTAGGCTGGCAGCGAATTCGGCTGGGGAAGGGGCTAGTTGATATAGGGAGGGGGCAGGATCTTCCTTGGAAGAAACTCCTGTCGTCTGAAGGGAGGAAGTGGGTTCTCCGGAGAAGGAATCGGCTCAGGGTGACTCCGCCACCAATCTCGGACTTTGGGGTTCTTCGGAGATCTCCTGGCGTGGGCTGGGTTGCAGCTAAAAGGGGGGGAAATGCAGGGTTGTGGCCTTTGAAAGGGCTTCCCCCTTGGAGCAGAGGATCGACCAGAGAGGCTTTTCGGCGTCCGTTAGAGGAGACGACACGAGGAGACGCCACGCATGCGACGCATTTCTTTGAAGTGGTTTATGTCCGCCGTCAGCATGTCCTCCGTGTAGCAAGTCGCATCCCCGTTCTTGTACACGAGCTGATCGATCATCCTCATCAGTTTGGCCACCTGGAACACCCGTTCTATCCCTTTGGCCTTGTTGTTGAAGGCCAGGCAGCGGTGCCAACACAAGGCCACCAGTTCCCGAAGCGCGACGTCTCTCTGGGCTATGAATTCCTCCAACGTCTCCCCTTCCAGGTCCTCCTTGTGGGTGAACAAAAGGATCAGGTAATTCTTGCCTTTGCGACCGAAGACCTCTTTGACCAGCTGAAGCGTCTCCTTCTCCTCCTGGGGGGAGATACCGCCAAGACGCATGACCCACAGAATAGCGTGGGGACCCGGGGCACAAAACTTCATAGACTCCGTGAGCTCCACCACAGTTTGGGACTCTGGAACCCCAGGGTCGAAAAAGCCCGGCGTATCCACCACCACCACCTTCCGGCCATTCCACCGGGTCTCCTCCCTTTGGCTTATTGGTAACCAAAACCTCAGCCTAGACTCAAAGAGGTTGCTTCCCAGGATGGTGTTTCCCGTCGCGCTTTTCCCACTTCCGGTTTTGCCCACCAGGACGATCCTCTGATCAGGCCCTGCAATCCCAAAGGGGAGAAGAAACAAGACGGGGACCCGGTCAGCAGCGTACGGCCATCGCACCCTGTGCCCGCCCCTACCCCATCCCACCCCCCTCCACCTCCACCCTCCGGGCCCAAGACTTTACCTCGGAGGTTTCTAGCCATTTCCAGACCAGTCGCACAGCGCCAATCTCAGGGGTTGCTGCGTGAACGGCGAAACGGGATGAGCCAAAGGAGAGGCTGCCTCGCTTGGAGGTTCCCCCCTAGAAGACACAGGCGGGAATTGGGGGGGGGGGCAAAGAGGGTCACCCCCTCCCCACGGCCCTTGAGGCCGAGTCGTCCTGTTCCCGAACCGGCTGGCGGACGCAGGAGACGGATACATCAGGGAGTTTGTACCCCTTCCTGGCCCCCTTTCCTGGATCCCCTTCCTGAACCCCCTTCCTGGATTCTTTTTCTGGACCCTCATCCTTGACCCCCTTTCTTGGGCCCTGTTCTGGCTCCCTTTCTGGATCCTTTTCTGGACCCCCTTCCTGGACCCTCTTCCCGGACCCCTTTCCAGGACTTGCTTCCCAGATCCTCTTTCTGGATCCCCTTCCTTGGGCTCCATTCTGGACCCCTTTTCTGGATTCCTTTCCTGGATCCCCTTCGTGGACTCCTTTTCTGGACCCTCATCCTTGACCCCCTTTCTTGGGCCCTGTTCCGACCCCTTTTCTGGACCCTTTTCTAGACCCACTTCCTGGATCCTCTTCCTGAACCCCTTTCTTGAGCCCCATTCTGGGCCCCTTTTCTGGACCCTCATCCTTGACCCCCCCCTTTCTTGGGCCCGGTTCTGGGTCCCTTTTCTGGATCCCCTTCCTGGATCCACTTCCTGGACTCTCTTCCTGGAGCCCTTTCCTTGACCCTTTTCTAGACTTCCTGGACCTCCGCCTCCAGGAGTGTTCTCCCCTCTCTCACAATACAGTGATTCCCCAGGAAGTCCTCGTCTTACAACAGTTCCTTTCGTGACCGTGGCCTCAAACATCATCAAACTGGGCAACCTCCCTTAACCAATTTCTCCCTTAGCAACATAAGTTTGGGGCTCCGGGAAGCCGAGGACCCCCCGTCCTTCTTGCCAAGAGCAGCCCTGTCGAGAGTTTGGGGACGGGGACGCCTTCCTCCGGCGTCCCGCGCAGACCCCCAACGGCGGCAGAAGGGCGGCTGGAGAAGACAGGCAGAACCGCAGCTCCCCCACGGGGCCGAATGGGGGAACGGCACACACACACACACACACACACACACACACACCACACACACACACACACACACAACGCAAACCACACTCACACTCACAACACACACACAACTACACACACACCACAAACACACAACACACACCACGCTCACACCACACTCAAACAACACACACACAACTACACACACACCACAAACACACAACACACACCACGCTCACACCACACTCAAACAACACACACACACCACACTCACAGCACACTCAAACAACACACACACACACCACACAGACACAACACACACAACCACACACACACAAACAGACAACACACACCACACTCACACCACACTCAAAAAACACACACACACCACACATACACGACACACAAACACACACAACACACACACAACATACTCACACAACACAAAAATACACACACACACACAACCACACACACACCACACACACAACGCACACCACACTCACACCACACTCATACAACACACACACACACACCACACTCACACCACACTCAAACACACACACACACCACACTCACACAACACACAACACAGCCCGCACTCACACACAAACACACACAACACACACACAACCACACACATACCACAAACACACAACACACCCCACACTCAAACAACACACCCACACCCCACACATACATGACACACATACACACACAACACACACACAACGTACACAACACACACACACAAAGCACACCACACTCACACCACACTCAAACACACACACACCACACTCAAACAACACACACACACCACACAGACACAACACACAGACACACACAACACACTCACACACACACAACACACACAACCACACACACACAAACAGACAACACACACCACACTCACACCACACTCAAACAACACACACACTCACCACACATACACGACACACAAACACACACAACATACTCACACAACACACACAAATACAACACACAAATACACACACACACACACCCCTCTCCCCGGAGAGGCTTTCAGGGATGGAGGAAGAAGAGGGAAGAGGAAGATTCCACTTTGGACGCTGCAACCGGATCCTGCAGGAAGGACAGCCCCCCCTCGCCCCCCTCCGCTTCTTGCCACCCCTCCCCCGAATAGACAGCACAGCCCGACCCCCCCCTCCAGGAGGGCCAGAATTGGGAATCTCACTGGGAAAGTTCCAAGGGGAGGGGGGAGATGGGATTGGGGGTTCTGGGGGAGGGGGGTTGGAAGCTGGGGTCCCCTCCGTGCTCTCCATTCCGGGTCTCCCCTTTTTTTTGGCTGTCTGGACAGGACCCGGCAGAAACTTCAGAGAAGGAGCAAGACCCCTCCCCAAATTATGAGGAATAGCCCCCCTCCCCCCATACTAGAATAGTAGAGAGAATAGAATAGAATAGAATAGAATAGAATAGAATAGAATATGGAATAGGAATAGGAATAGGAATAGGAATAGGAGAGGATAAAATAGAATAGAATAATATAGAATAAGAATTAGAATAGAATAGAATAGAATAATGGAATGAAGTAGAAGAATAGAATAGAATAGAATAGAATAGAATAGAATAGAATACAGAATATAGAATAGAATATAGAATAGAAAATAGAATAAAAAATAGAATAGAATAGAAAATAGAAAATAGAATAGAATATAGAATAGAAAATAGAATAAAGATAGAACAGAAATAGAATACAATCAAGAATAGAATACAAAATAGAATAGAATAGAATATAGAATACAATATTTAATATTTAATATAGAATATAGAATAGAATACAATAGAATATGCAATATGCAATATAGAATATAGAATAGAATACAATAGAATATTGAATATAGAATATAGAATAGAAAATAGAATAAAAATAGAACAAAAATAGAATAGAATCTAGAATAGAATAGAATACAGAATATAGAATAGAAAATAGAATAGAATAGAATAGAATAGAGTAGAAAATAGAATAGAATAGAATATAGAATAGAATATAGAATATAGAATATAGAATATAGAATATTTAATATAGAATATAGAATAGAATAGAATAGAATAGAATAGGTGTTTCTGTGCCCCACTCCTTGCGAAGTCCCCCCCCCTTTCCCTCCCCTAACAGGAGGGTCTCAGCTCTCCCACCCACCCGTTGGGGGGCTCTCCCAGAAACGAGGAACGACTTGATGCCCAGAAACAGCCCTTGCCCTCACCCAGGTCCACTTCTCCTGCCCCAGCCAGGCCCACTCTGGGGAGCGGGGGGGGGTCTCACCTGGACAGAGGGATCAGGGATCTCCGTTGGCAGCTAGATCGGCTGCTCTCCCCTCTCGGCCGGATCTCCTCGCCCTTTGAACGGCCGGTGGATCTTTACGACAGGAGCCAGCAAAAAAAAAAAAACCTGGACTACTTAACTGTAGTAATCAGTCCTTAGTCATTGAAGGGTGCAAAGAAATGGCCGCCCGCTCGGAGCCTTTATTTGTTTTTATAGAGTTTTACAAATAGCAAAAGATACTGCATGGCAATAGCATTTCATTGGCTAAAATCCTTTACCGATCCTCAAGAGTAAAAAGCTAGAGGCCAGAAACAGGGAATAGTTAGTAGAATCTTGTTGATGTGAGCTAGCTCTTATCAGACAAGGTCAGAGCTGCACACTTTCACATCGCCATGGTGATGTGAAGGAATGAGATAGATGCAGGAAGGAGGGGCACCCAGGCTTTGGAGGGGCAATGTTCTGCACACGACCTTTGCCTGTCTCTCACCTCTACATCTCACTCTTTTTTGTTTTGTTAGACGAAATATCGCCGGAAGGGGGGTTAATAAAAGGATTATAATCAGGAAAGGAGCATCCTTGCAGTTGTTAATATAGGGCCAAAACATGACCCTGAGGCAATGTGAGAGAGGATTTACTGGGATTTAAAGCTCTAATACATATATTGCAAAATGAAAGAATACATTACATAAACAGCACCCACAAAGATCCTAAAGTACCAATTTTCAAATCAGAAGCCAAATTGTGTAAAATATAAATCTGGTGCTGGATGGTTCATGAATTATCAGAAATATTGAAACAATACATTTCCTCAAAACGTTTACAACCCAGATGCTGGTGCAGAAGCAAATAATCAATTGCAGCATGATTTTGCAAAATAGCTTTTCTCAAATTTTGCAGCTCATGGTTGATTGCTGAAATAGTTGAAGAAGTAGTATTAATTGTTTTTGCCAAATTTCATGTAATAGCATTAAAGTTGAGGTGAGCACGAACAGCAAGTCCTGGCACGCCCACTAGAGATATAGCCAATGCTACAAAGTAAGGTTGTCTCAGAGTCACAAGTGTTGTCTAGCGTAACACCATGTGGAGAATGGTTCATGTGAACTTGTTGTTTGGAAAGCAAAACAGGAATCAGCTGGCTGAGGCAACATTGCGCTTCACTAATATTAGCAGGAATATAATTTAAAGTTTCTTGACCACATGTAAAAAACCCTCCTTGCAGTAGCCAAGCATGTCCAAAATGAAAGGAAGTCTCTATTGAAGCTGTGCAATTTAAAGCAGGTGAGCCAATGCGACGACAGTGAGGTTTTTAAAGCAATAACCTCCCAGAGTAAGTGAAGTTTTGAATTACTGCAGAAGGGGTGCAAACAAAGACTAAACATGTAGAAAGCAAATTTTCCATGTTATACATTACAGGTAAACAAAAGAAGTCATTTTGAGTGATCTTAGATTTGGCTTCATTCGTTGTTCGAATGATTGTTTGAGTGGGAGGACAGTTACCGTTGTCA